CATTGTTGACTGGAGCCTTGAACACCATGGAATGCAAAGACAGGTTCATTAACATTGCAGGTGGCTCACGGACTTGAGATCACCAACGTCCACTACGGCGCAGGCACCTCAGGGGGAAATGCATCCTTCTTGCCTCTTCTGTGTTGGAGGCCTCAGAAGGGAGTCGGGCTCTGTCAGGCCCCAGGGGCTGTGCAGAGAAGGGAATAGCCCCAGGCACGGCTTCGGGACTAGGGGACTAGGGGGCTGTTTCCTGAAGCTGGGGCCAGCACTGCCTCTAGAACCACAGTCACCTCCCCACAGAAATGTTCTTTCTCTGCCAGGTGTGGTGGCTCACACCTGTAATCCCAGCACTTTGTGAAGCTGAAGCAGGTGGATCACTTGAGGTCAGGAGTTTGAGACCAGCCTGGCCCACATGGTGAAACCCTAGGTCTACCAAAAAAATTTAAAAATTAGCTGGATGTGGTGGTGTGGGCCTGTAGCCACAGCTACTCAGGAGGCTGAAGCAGGAGGATCACTTAAGCCTGGGAGGGGAAGGTTGCAGTGAGCAGAGATTACTGAGACAGGAAATGTATGGGCGATGTGCAGTGGTGACTGCACTCCAGCCTGGGTGACAGAGCAAGACCCTATGAAAAGAAAAGAAAAGAAAAGAAGAGGAGAGGAAAGGAGAGAAGAAGAAAATGTTCTTTCTTCTGTGGGAGGGCCTTTCTCCCTAGAGGGCATCGATGGGCATCAGGGCTCCCATCATCGAGCTGACTCAGCCTCTTTCAAGACCTTCTCTGCAGCCTGGTCACCCAGAGGACGGCCCCCAGCATGCTCAGGAGCAGAGGCAGCTCCAGGAGGACCAGGACCAGGAAGTAAGCGCTGCTGAGCAGGGACCTGTAGGGACACGGTGACAGGAAATGAGCTGCCTCCTGGCTCAGAGGTCTCAGGTCTTCTCAGATCTTCTCAGCTTTATGCCCAGATCCTGGCTTCCAGCGTCCATGTGAGGGCCAGCCTGGACCCTCCAGCCAGGCCGGCCCCCATGGTGGGGCACAGTCAGGCTGCTCACCAGCAGGGCCTCCAGTCCTCCATACACCCCTAATAAGCTCAGCCTGGCGTTCAAGGTCCCGTCTGCCGACACCCACACAGCCTTTGTGGCTGGTCTCCCATAACGTCTCCTCACCTGTCTTGAAGGGGTTTAGCATTCCCTGTCTCTTCTTACCTCTGTTTCTGCTGCATTCTGCACCCAGAGGGCCCCTCCACCCTCAGTACTACCTGTGCAAATGCTACCCACTTTTTAGGTATCAGATCTAACATCCTATCCTTGAAGGCCTTGGAGGTTTACCTTGCTCTGACCCTCTGCCCATGAATCCCCACCTGGCCCTGCGGTTCCTCACGTTCCCCGTTCTTTCTATGGGTGTGTAAGGCTCGGGAGCTTACTGACCATCAATTCCACCCCCTCTCCATCCTCCACCCACTTCCCAGGGTCTCAACCTCCCAAAGGGGGCCATCTTGTTTCCTTCCCCTCCGCACAACTTGAGGCCACTCTCAGCTCATGGATAAATTTTAAAAATCAGGCCAGATGTGGTGGCTTGTGCCTGTTATCCCAGCATATTGGAAGGCCAAGGCAGCAGATTGCTTGAGCCCAAGGGTTCAAAACCAGCCTGGGTAACATAATGCAACCCCAAATCAAAGAAAGAAAGAAAGAGAGACAGAGAGAGAGAGAGGGAGGGAAAGAAAAGAAAAATCAAAATTATATCCAACTCCAGAATGCTGGATGAGCCCTCAGATGGGACTGCAGTTATCTGGGGGAGATGGAGGAGGGCTGTGCAGCAGGCATGGGTCAAAATGCCCCCAAAGATCCTTCCCAGCTTCTTCGATCTTGGGGCTCTCCCGCTATACCTCTGGGGTCTCTTGCCTCTCTCCCCTGACAGCTAAAATCCCATCAGTTTGCACAAAAGCAAAGGAGGAAAAAAACAAAAAAGAAACAGTCAAGGAGTCCTAAAGCCAGTCCCACAGGTAAATCTCTGCAGACACATTTGCAGAACTCAAGATCAAGTGAATGAAGAAAAAAAAAGAGTTGAACTGCAGAGGGAACGGACAAGCCTTGAGGAGCAGTTCTAGGAAGACTGAGCCAGAGACACAGGCCTCTGTGCTGGGCTCTGTCAGGAGCAGGAGGGGCTGTGATTTGGGCTCTGGCCTTGACCTGGGGGGCTTGACCACAGCAGGCTGTGATGGAATCCGATGGACAGCTCACAGGTGCTGACCTCTGGGGACTCTTCTGGATACCTCCAGGGCTGGTGAGCATCAGACTAATCCTCCAGATCCCTCTGTCAGCTTGGGAGGGTGAGAATGCCGAACATTCAGCATGCCCATTTCCCTCTAGCATTTTCCACTCCCCTACTCTGGTACCCGGGGAGAGGGAGGCTGGAACAATATTTGTTCTTGGGCAGAAACTTGGAGCAGATGAGAGAGGTGTCTCTCCTAACTCACTAGAGGCCAAACCTTGATACGCCCTCTTGACCCCAGGAGGCGGGGAGGGCAGGTTCAGTCCCCTCTCCTACCACCTAGCTACAGTTTGCCTTCATGTAGCCAAAGCTTAGATGGGAAATCTTGTTTTTCTCAAAGGTAAACTGAGGTTGGGGCAGCCCACCTCAGGTTTGCAGTGACTTTACTGATACAAAGATGCAACAGTGGGGACCTATGGGGGTCCCAGACTGAGTACCCCCAGAAGGCAGGGTTATCAGAGTTAGCAAACAAAAGCATAGCATGCTCAGTTCAATTTGAAGGGCAGATAAACAACGTATTTTTTTTTTTTTTTAGTATAAGTATAGCCCCTGAAATACTTGGGTTATACTTATGCTAAAAATGTTTTGTTGTTGGTCTGAAACTGCGATTTAACTGGACAAGCTGTTGTAGCTGGCAACCCCTGCTAGTGGAGAAGCCATGGGACCAGGCCAGTGGGAAAGTGGTGCAACCCGGCCCTGCCTACCTGGTGAGGGGTGTGGCGGTCTTCGGGGTGGCTGCAGCTGTGGGTGCCAGACTTGCTGTTGTAGTTGTCCATTCTGGGCTGAATTTTGTGTCTAAACAGACAAAGCAGAAAATAGTTCACCCCTGCCATGGATGGCCCAGCTCTGGCTGTGGCCCTCGGGCTTCTACTCCTAGGAATTAAGGAGCCTCTGCCTTGGAATCCAAGTTAGGAGGGAAGGAAGGAAGGAAGGAAGGAGGGAGGGAGGGAGGGAGGGAGGGAGGGAAGGAAGGAAGGAAGGAAGGAAGGAAGGAAGGAAGGAAGGAAGGAAGGAAGGAAGGAAGGAAGGAAGGAAGGAAGTCTATGCTCCCTGAAGTCCTGCCCCCGCCCATGAGTTCTTGACTGTAGGCAGAAGCACCAGGGCTCATTGAGACACTCCGAGATCCCAAGAGAAGGTGCAGCCTTCAAACATAAACAGAAGGCTGAGATTATGCCAGTAATCCCAGCACTTTGGGAGGCCAAGGCGGGCGGATCACTTGAGCCCAGGAATTCAAGACCAGCCTGGCCAACATGGCAAAACTCCATCTTTACTAAACATACAAAAATTAACCTGGCATGCTAGCGCGTGCCTGTAGTCCCCGCTACTCAGGAGGCTGAGACAAGAGAATTGCTTGAACCCAGGAGGCGGAGGTTGCAGTGAGCCGAGATCACCCCACTGCACTCCAGTCTCCGTGACTGGAGCATAAACAAACAAACAAACATAAACAGAGGCTTCTCAGGAGCCTCGTCCAGCACTTCCTCTCCCAGAACGGACCCACCACACCCTCCCCTGTTCCCACTGGCAAAGCCCTCTGCTGCTCTGTCTCTGATCCCCCACCCCTGCAAGGCCCTTTGCAGGTGAAGAAGATACGATGGGTTTTAACTGACAGGGCATTGGTTGAGGGGGATGCAGCAGGGAGTCAGGAGGCCCCAGACCCATGGACCAGGCACACTGACAGACCAATTTTAGAGTGAAAATGACAAGGAATTTAATTTTGAGCACATCTGAGCTGTTAATAGGGTGGATGTCTCGATGAAACAACCAGTAGGCACTGGGAATGAGAGCCGAGCACCGAGAAAGGAAATCCGGCGGCAAACTGCTTTTGACAGTCCTGTGCATGGAGGGGACTTCAGAGTGCAGCTGAGGACACTCCCTGGAGGGAAAGGCCCCCAAGGAGAGCGTCAGGACAGGCTCCAGGAGATGCAGAGTGGTGGGGGCAGGAACAGCAGTGAGAGCAAGCAGGGGCTTCAGCAAAGAAAAAAAGAGGAGAGGCAGAGGGAGCAGGTGACAGAGGAGGGAGGGGACCATCTGAAGGAAGAGGGGAGAGTCTGGGAAAGTCACTTTGGAGATCAGTAGAGTAAGCAGCTTTGGTGCAGTGAGGCTGGCCAACAGCCAAGCGCAGGAAAGATGTGCAGAGATGGGGAGGAAGCAGCCAGAGCAAGGTGGGGCTAGAGATGAAAGGCGACTTCTCCTTCCCCAGCTCCCCACCGCGAGCCTCCACTTCGGAGTGACTCAGGACCCCAGAGGAAGCTTTCCGAGGGAGGGGCACCGAGTCAGGCTCAAGGAGAGACGACAGCCCAGGGCTGGAAGAGCGGTCTGAGGTGCCCAGCGGTGGGGCCACCTGGAAAGAGCCTGGGGCACAGGCTGTTTCTCCAGCTAGGCTGGGTGGGAGTGGGGAGCACTATGCTCTGTGTTCTTCCTCAAGTGCAAAGCCAGCGTCCCATCCATCCCTTCCATCCACGCTCTGAGCCTCACCGCGCTCCCTGCCCTGGATTGCTGGCAGAGGCTCCTAAATCACTGACAGCTGCAGGTAGAACCCACGCCAGGCCTGACCCTTTGCTTCCCCAGTTCACTGAAGATATATCGTCACATCACACACACTCCCAAATGCCAACACTGCATTTCTCCTAATTCATGAATTTAGGAAGTAACTAAAGAAAAAAAAAGGAAGCAGCTGAGAAAGCTAAAAAATAATGATTTAGGCAAATCGAAAGCAGTTCTGGCCTCCTCACAGGTTGCTAGAGGGCAGCTGGTATTTGCTGATCTCCAGGAAGAGAGCACAGGCAGGCAGGAGCATGTGGCGCCCACCGGCCCTGCTCCTTCTTATCCTCCCAGGTAAGTGGGCTTGGGGCTTAAGGATCTGGAACCCAAAAGGCTGAGCAGGAAACAGAGTAGGTCTGTGCTGGAGGGAAGGAGACAAGTTGGGGAGAATGCACTCATCCATGCACTTACGCATTAGAAAGAACAAAGGAAAGAAGGAAGGAATGTTTCATTTTCTGACAGTTACTAAGTAGGTGTTGGGGATTCTGATTCTCCTCAACCCTGGCAGATGATAGATAGATAGATAGATAAATAGATGATTGACAGACAAACAGATGATTGATAGATAGATAGATGATACATAGACAGATGATAGACAGATAGGAAATAAGTAGATGGATGGATAATAGATGAGAGACAGATGGACAGGTGGACAGATGGATGACAGGACAGGTAAATAAGTAGATACATACATACATGCTTATACACACATATACACACACTTAAACACATGAATCCCTGAGGAACTTTAAAGGGGCACCGACACTCAGGTTCTAGCTCAGACCCACTCAGTCATGGTGGGGTCCAGACATCTGCGAGTGTAGAAGCCTCCACAGCTGGTCTTGACTTGTAACTGAAATGGAGCAGCTCAGAGTTACAGGGAGGAAGACAGGCAATGAGGCCAGGATACGATCGCTCTCTGGAATGTAAGTCAACCTCAGTAAGGGTTTGAGTCCAGCCAGCAAGAAAGAGAAAACTTCCTGGGCAAAGGGAGCAGCTTGTGCAAAGGTATGGAGATAAAAATAGCATAGTCCTTAGGCAAAGAAAAACAACTGTGCACTCATGTGTGTACACGAGTGTGTGACTGTTGGGTGTGTGGGGGTAGGTGTGTTTGGTTTCATGAAACTTTATTATTTGTGCAGACTTACATGGGAGGGATTTTAGGGGTGTGGGATACTGTGCCAGTGGGTAGAGGAGCTAGAGGAAGCCAGGATGTCTACTCAGCTCTAGGATTTTAAAATAAATCAATGGCTGGCCGGGCTTGGTGGCTCAAGCCGGTAGTCCCAACACTTTGGGAGGCCGAGGTGGGCAGATCACTTGAGGTCAGGAGTTCGAGACCAGTCCTGCCAATGTGGTGAAACCCTGTCTCTATTGATACAGAAATTAGCTGGGCGTGGTGGCACATACCTGTAGTCCCAGCTACTTGGAAGGCTGAGGCATAAGAATCGCTTGAACACAGCAGGTGGAGGTTGCAGTGAGTTGAAATGGCACCACTGCACTCCAGCATGGAGTACAGAAGATCCAGCAGCGTCCAGCCTGGGCAACAGAGAGAGACTCTGTCTCAAAAAATAAGTAAATAAATAAATAAATAAAATAGACTGGTGGCTGCAGTGAGAGCCAGGGATTGCTGGGGAAGTGGGTGTTACTTCAGGGCAAAGCAGGGAAGGTTTCCAAAAGGAGAGGGCATTCGGTGGTTGCCAGGATGAAGGGTGAACAGACCACTGCGCTGGGCAGGGAGCCCTCAGGAGAGCTTTGTCAGAAGGGTAACAACAAAAGACATACCACCGGGAATTAAGGAACAAATGGATGTGAGAATTTGAGAATTTGGGCGCTGAGGGCAAAGGCTCCTGGTCAGTCCCCAGTGAGGTGCCGGAGGTCCTGGCCAGTGCCAGGGAGGAAGGAGCTGAACATTGTGTTCTGCCTTCCAGGGTGTTTCTCCATCTATGGTCCTGGCACTGTGTGGGGCACGGAACGGGACTCACTGGCAGTGCAGTGTCATTATGACCAAGGCTGGGAAACCTACAACAAGTGGTGGTGCCGTGGGAGTGGCTGGAAGTCCTGCGCGATCCTCGTTATAACGTCGGGATCAGAGCGCGCAGTGGAGAGAGGTCGAGTGTCCATCAGGGACGATCAGAGAAACCGTGTGTTCACCGTAACCATGAAGACACTCCGGAGGTCAGACACTGACACCTACTGGTGTGGCATCGAGAGGGCGGGCACTGACCTTGGGGTCCAAGTTGAAGTGACCGTTTACCCAGCCGAAGTGACCGTTTACCCAGGTAGGAGCAGCTCCCTCCTGTACCAAACTCTGGTGCTGAACCAAGAGGATTCAGTGATGCATCTTGACATTGCTCTGGGACTACGCACGTGTGTGTGCTTGGGTGTGCCTGTGTGTGTGGGTGCCTAGGCTTGCCTGTGTCTGTTTGTGTGCTGTGCATAGACGCATGTGTACAAATGGGCCATGTGTGTCTGTGTGTGTGTCTGTGTGTGTGCTTGTGCATGTGTGTGTGTTGGGGGGGGGGTGTTACATCAAGATTCTGGAAATACTGGAAGACAAAGGAAGCCCCAGCATCTGTGCACGTCTCAGAGGGAACCAAGTGGAACTGGCCTGGCTTGGGCAGGCTCAGTTCAGGGTAAGACAGAAGGCAGCCTCTCTTCTGCAAGTCACTTGGGGCAACCGTGCCCCCTCAGGGCAGCCCCAACCTGATAGGGGCACTTGTCAGGTGTACAGGCAGGGGAATGCATGAAAGTCACAATCCCAGAGGTCTCAGCTCCAAAACAAGCATGTAGTGACGAAGAGCCTATTGGTGACCCTCCCCCTGTGCCACCCCCTCTCTTCCTCTCCCTCCTCTGGTGACATATGGGCAAAGGAGGGCATGGGAGAGTGACTCGTTCCTGAAAGAGAGAAACACAGAACCCGGCACAGTGCAGAGCCCTCCCACGGGTCTCCCCTGGCTGCCCTGAGCCTCTAAGGGGACTCAGAACTCAGAACTGGGGGCTCCCAGAAAGAGACTCACCCTCATCCCACAGCCCGGCCCCCACAGCCACCAGTGCCATCTCCACCATGGGCCCCAAGGAAACTCTCAGCTCCCCATACACACGCACAGATGCCCACTCAATCATGTATCTGTTATTTGTGGGTCCCTTTACAAAGCAGGGAAAAGTCCCTTTCAGCTTTGTGTATGCAGATATGGTGTGCCTGTGTGCGCGTGCAGAGGGGAAGTCTGCTGGTTTTAGAATGTTCCTGAAATTGACTTAAAAAGAGAACAAAGGCAGGAGCGGGTATGGATGGGTAGAAGGAAAGGAGCAGCTGAGGGAGAGTTGAAGGCTGCAACCCTCCAAGTCTAGTGAAACAAGGAAGCTTTGGGGAGGCAGGAAAAACTCAGCCAGAAGCAGACACTTGGCCCAGCTGCAGGGGAGAGGAGCCCTGAGTCCCCAGGCAGGGTCCAGGGAGGGGCAGCCGGCTCTGAGGGTCACTTCTTCGCTACAACAGCAGGCAGCAAACAGCCTGCTTGAACCCCGGCTGAGACTCAGAAAAGAGCTGGCTGGCTCTGATGTAGAACTTCAAGGAAGCAGAGTGTGGTTCTCAATGCTCCGATGTGCCATGCAGGACTCTGTCACTAAGTTAAAGAGCTGTAAATTGCCTACACAGCTTCTCACCACAAATCCTTCACAGGTGGTGCAGTGGTGTTTCTTTGTAAATGAAATAATGTTACACTTTCTATAAGATTGCAAAAAGATACCAAATGAAACAAGTGTAGCTGACCTGTAGGGCTAAGACTAAATATTTCACAATCCTTGGAGGAGTAGGGGATGGCGTGGGCCACGGGAAAGCCACCTGGGCCACCCTCAGAACTATCCTTTGCTCTGTGTGTCCAGAACCTACGACCATAGTCACAACTGTACCTGGGACAGCAGACACAGCATCACCTGGGGCAACAGTCACAGCTGTACCTAGGAAAGCAGAAACAACTGTGCCTGGGAAAAGGCACACAGCTGCACCTGGGACAATGGACGCCGCTGTACCTAGGCAAGAGGAAACAGCTGTGCCTGGGAGTGGGAACACAGCTGTGCCTGAAACCATGGACACAGCTTCCCCTGGAAAAATGGACACAGCTGTACCTAGGAAAGTGAAAACGGCTGTGCCCGGGACAGCAGACACAGCTTCACCTGGGACAAGAGACACAGCAGAACGTAAGAGAACCCCCACTCCAATAGTTCTGACCTCCTGGGCTTCGCTCAGCCGGAACACCAGCAGCAGCCAGCCCACAGCTCTTACCAGCCCCCTCGCCAGGTAAGCAGAGCTGGGCTCCCACAGACCTTTCCCTAGGCTACCCCATGACCTGGGGCTCCCTCCAGGGACCCTCATGTGGCCCTGGTCAGGGGAGAAACAGTGAAGTTTGTAGCGGGCCTTCCCCACCCTGTCTACACCTGAGCACTGCGGGAGATTCTCCCTGAGGAGCTGCAGCAGGCTGAGCTCTGGAGAGCAGGCTCTGGGCTCCAGGCTCTGCTGAGCCCCTCAAGCCCCAGAAAGCAAAAGCAAGGTGAACCCTTGGGCGTTCTGGAAGAGTGGCTGTCTCTGTGGCTTTCCTGTGGCTGCCGTAACTGATCGTTACAACGTTGGTGGCTTAAAACAACACCATCTCATGCTCATACAGCTGTGGAGACCAAAAGTCTGAAACGGGTCTCACTGGGCTAAAATCAAGGTGTTAACAGGGCTGGTTCCTTCTAGAGGCTTCAGGGGAGGACCTGCTTCCTTGCCTTTCCCAGCTTCTAGAGACCACCCGCATTCCTTGGCTTATGGCCCCTTCCTACCCAAAGGCAGCAAAGGTCAGTGAGTCCCCCACAGTGCATCGCTCCACTGACTCTCCTGCCTCCCTTTTTCATTGATAAGGACTCTAATGATTCCACTGGGCTCAGCCAGGTGATCCAGGATAATCCATCCTGCATCAGCTGACAAGCAGTCTCAAATCCACCCACTGCCTTAACTTCCCCTTGCATGGAATGGAACATATTTACAGGCTCTGGGGTTAGGATGTCATTGGTGGGCTTCACTATTCTGCCTACCACAGTCACAGGCAGGGCCATGCCCATCGCTCCAACTCTCCAGCCAAGGCTAGGGAAGGGCCGGGCGGGAGAGCAGGAAGCTGGGCCCCCTGCTTTTCTTTCACATTCCCAGCATGCTAGAGGGGTGTGGACATTAACCCGAAGCCCACCTACCTTCGAGGGATCAACAGGATCTCTCATCACATCGCAAACATGGCTGCCCCTGTTGAACCCCCTCACAGTCTGGTACTTCAGGGTCCCTCCAAGTCCAGGGTCAAGGCCCATTCTCTCCCCAGATCCTGCCTTCCCTGTTCCACCGGCTCGCTTCCCTTCTCCAGCCCAACTCCCTTCCTCTCAAAGGGTCTCATTCCCTGCCAGAACCGGGCACATGTTCCCTAGGAGTCCGGAAGAGGCGAGGCGCTAGGGATGCTTCCTGACCTGGCTGCTGTCTCGCTCCACTGTTTGCAGAGAGGTTGTTCTGCTGAATGGAGAATGGCAGGGCCAGGACTTCTAGCGAGACTGGAGAGGCACAAGGGGAAACTCAGCGGGGAGAGACCAAGGATGAGGCAGCTCCACAGGGAGAGGAACTTGTAAGAAGAGCACAGGGGTTTAAAGGATATTTTTAGGATGTGCAATATGGCAGGCTCGCTCTAGCTCAAGAAAACCCTGAGTGAAATCCACATGACTCATCACTGCTTCCATGCCCTGGGCTGGAGGCCAGTTTCGGGGAGAGAACAAGGGTGGCCTTCGGGGAGGAGACCTGGCACTGGGTGTGGGGAAGGGGATGAGGAGTAGGACTGGGGACTCGGACTCTAACACACTGATGGGGACTCCCCACAACCCACTAGTTTATCTAGACCAAGTATGAAACATGTGGGTGATAGGAAGCAGCAGGCCACAGGTCTGCTGTCATAAAGTGGGTCCGAGCAGGGAGAGACCCCTCCCAGGAGAACCAAGTAGATGAACAGCCAGGTTGACAGAAGTGGGGGAATCTTCCTCTGCTTCAAAGAGGTAATAATAATTAGATTTGAGCTTGAAAGATGGGCAGACGTGACAGAGGGAGATACCAGGCAGAGAGAGGAGCAGAAGCAGGAAGACAGGACACGGCAGACTCTCGAGCTTGGCAGGACACAGGTGAGTGGCAGGGACTGTGGGAGAAACCAGCCAAAGGCAGACCTGGCTGGGCACAGTGGCTCACACCTGTCATCTCTGCACTTTGGGAGGCTGAAGCGAGAGGATGACTTGAGCTCAGGAGTTCAAGACCAGCCCGGGGGATATAGTGAGACTCCATCTCTGCAAATAAATCAATAAATTTAAAAACAGGGAAGTCACAGCCAAGGACAGTGAAGGGGCAGGGCCCCAGACTCAGCCTGTGGGGAGGCCACTGGAGGCTCAGCCTCTGGGTGGCATGACCTTGCCCCTTGCACAGAACTTCTCTGGCTGTAGACCAGGCAGCTGACCAGGGTTAGCATTAGGGTTAGGGTTAGGGTTAGGGTTAGGATTATGGTTGGCCACAGGTGTTGGCTCGGGGGAGAGGCAGCTCACTCTTGGCATCTTGACCCCTTTGTCTAGGATCCTGCTCTGCAACATCCACTTCCTGCTCCCGACCTCCCTGAAGGGGCTGCTGCTCGTGGGCCTGCTCTGCACTGTGCTGCGAGTGAGCAGTGCTAAGGGGGCCTCCAGGGGGAAATAAAGTCACCACCTGAGCCGAAGAACCACAGCTCCCACATCATCGACACCCTCGGAGAGGACAGCAGAACCTCCTGGCCTCCTATCAGGTAATGAGCAGTAATTGCAATTCCCCAGGAGACAAGGGTCCCTGCAGAGATGAAGCATCCCTCATTCTGGCCTCAGGCATGTAATCCCACTCTCTGCCAGCTCTGCTCAGCACAGGGACACTGATGGGGCTTCTCTGCCTTCTGCCACCTCTGCCTCAGGAGCAGATAAAAGAAAGGACATCCCCCTTGCATGCTGATTTCTTGAAGATTCCCACATCTCACCTGCATGGATCCTCCCTCGGGCCTCCGTTCCTTGTTGCCCCGGGATGACCCTGTCGGAAAAAATGGACTATCATTCAGCTGCAGATGCCTCAGGGCCCATCTGGCCTTTGTATCTCAAGAGGGGCTCAACTCTGTCCTCTTTGTGCCTGTGACACTCTCCGCCCCCACCCAGCTCAGAGCCGGCATGGCCACCATCGCCCACTCCTGATTCAACCTTGGCCCTTTCCACCTCTCGGGCTGTGAATGCAGGAGTGGGTGCAGGATGCTCTGCCCTCATGTTTCACTCCCCCAATCCACTTGTAATTAAATAACAACACATCTCTTTCTCATTTTCAAAGGTATATATGTTTCCTCTCAATAAAGTTGTTATGATTATTATTCTCTTCCACTTACATTCTTCTGGAGCTCTGTCTACTCATTTTTTCCTCCCTATTTTACTTTGAATAGTTTTTTTGAATCACTGTATTTCTTTTCTTAGCTCCTTTTTTTGGAGAGATCTTGTTGTCTGTAGTTTCTCTGCAATGGAGGAGAATTTTCTGTCTGAACTCTTCCTCTATTGCCTTGAGCACTTCCTCTTCTGAGACAGGTTCTTCAGCTGCCACTTGCTGGTGTTCATTTCCTCTCATTGATCTCATCAGCTGTGAACAGCTGCTGGTTTGCTCTATAACTTTTCTTTGAATGAGGTTGAAGATTTGCCAAGAGTAGCATGAGGAGACGTTGAGGGCAGAGCCATGGAGGGCAGAGCATGAAGGGCAGAGCATGGAGGACAGAGCCATGGAGGGCAGAGCATGGAGGACAGAGCCATGGAGGGCAGAACGTGGAGAATGGAGCGTGGAGGGCAGAGCATGGAGGGCAGAGCATGGAGGGCAGAACGTGGAGGGCAGAACATGGAGGGCAGAACGTGGAGGGCAGAGCATGGAGGGCAGAACGTGGAGGGCAGAGCATGGAGGGCAGAGCATGGAGGGCAGAGCATGGAGGGCAGAACATTGAGGGCAGAGCCGTGGAGGGCAGAGCCATGGAGGGCTGCTGACACACGGAAAGTTTGTTTTCAGTAACACTCACCACTTGCCACATCTTGAGTGCCTATGTCCATATGGTTCACGTGTCAAGAAAGGGCAAGACCTCAGGCTCCAGCAGCCTGTGTGCTGCTAAGCGTGGGAGAACAGCTGATGTTGTGATGTGTGAACCTTGGCCACAGAGGCCGGTTGCTGTTGTCATCTGGAGGCTTCTTCACCCACGAGTCTAGAGCATGGACTGGGGTGATCCAAGACAGATCTGCTGGACTATTGCCCAGAGACCCTACATGTGGCCTCTCTGTGACAGCTGGGTTCTAAGAGGGAATATTCACAGAACTTCCAGAGGGCAAGTGTTTCAAGAGACTGAGGAGGGAGCTGCAGGGTTTCTTCTGACTTAGCCTTGGAAGCCACACAGAGGCCCTCTCACGTGCACTCCCCATGGGGGTGAATATTGGTTCTTGCAGGGTGAAAAAATATTTTTGCTCTTTTTAGGTACAAAACACAGAGATAGATAGATAGATAGATAGATAGATAGATAGATAGATAGATGATAAATGGATGGATGTATAATACATCTTTGGTATTAAAATTTCATAGGAGAGATTATTAGGAATTTTCCTTTTTTAGGGATATTGTTGTTTTAGGGATTTTTGGGGGATATGCATTGTTATCCTAAGATAACAATGAAAAAAGGTTGAGAAACACCATTCTAGCTCACTGGTTGAAATGGTCACAACCCATCCAGACCCAAGGGGAATAAGCCCCAACTCTTAATGGAAGGAGTGTCAAGAAATTTGCAGCCATGTTTTTAGACTGCCATGTGGAAGAATCGTAATTTAGTGCCTTCTTGTCACATATAAGAATAGCAGGACCTGAAGGGGTGAAGCCACCTGGTCCCCAGTCACAGGGCCAGAGAGCAGAGTTGGTTCTGCCCCTGAATGGCAGCCTGGAGCTGGCCCACATAGCATCCCTGCAGGCCCATCTGTGCACTTTAGAAGGTCAGTTCCCAAGCCTGCTGAGGCCACCATATGGTCACAGGCATGACAGTGAGGCTCTGAAACACCTACCCCTTCCTCAGAGGTCACAATCCAGCAGCCACTACTTGCACAGACATGTCTTGTTCGTGTTCAATGGGTGAAAGGTTAAGTAAATTATTGTAAATCTGTGCAATGGAATCCTACTGAGAAATAGGAAGAAATCAACTATTGATTGTAATAAGTGCAACAACTTGTATGGATCTCAAGGTTCTGTGAATAAAAGAGCCAATCTCAAACTATTACATGCTGCATAATTTCATTTGTCCTCAAAAGGACAGCACTGTAGAGATGGAGAGCACATTAGTGGTTTCCAGGGGGCAGAAATGGGATAGGGGTGCAAATACAAGGGACAGCATGAGGGAGATCTTTGTGATGATGGAATGGTTCTGTGTTTTGGCTGGGATGGTAGTTACACAGATCTCTTAAACTGCATGGAGCTCTACACAAACACATCCATAAACCAATGTATATTAAAAATGATGAAAACAGAATAAAGTCTGCAGTCTAGTTAACCATTGTAACTAGATTGTAGCAATGTATTGTACAATTGTGACAATGCCAGTTTCCTGGTTTTGGTACTGTCCTACAGTTATGTAATGTGTCACCATTGAAGGACACTGGATGAAGGATTCACAGGACTCTGTGTGTTATATTTGCAGTGTTAAGCCTATAATTATTTCAAAATAAAAGTTTCAAAAATGTTAAACCTCCAGGGGCTTCCTGTGGTCTCCTGGACACAATTAAAACTCCTTAGTCTACCTTGAAGCCCTTTCATAATTAGGCTCCAGCCCCATACCTCAATCTTCTCCCACATGCAGCCTGCACACATGGTAGTGTGGCTCCTGAAGGTCCTGGTATCCAGCATGCTTTATGACCCTTCCCTACCATTGCCTGGAACAATCATCCCCCAGTCTTCTGCCTTATTTTTATAAATTAAGCCCTTAATTTTCCTTCTCCACTTGACCTCATGGGAGTGTCTCACTTCTGTGCTCCCACAGAGCACGGTGCAGACCCCTGACACGGATTCTGACACACTGCATTGCTATTGTTAATCTACATCTTAATCTTCCTTTCTAAAGGAGTAGGAACTCTGCAGAGTTTAAGTCCTTATCTGTAATGCCCAGAACAATGCACCATAGACAAACAATAAAAGTTTATTAAATGAATAAGTAAATAAAAGGAAAAATGAAAGGAAGAATAGATGAAAAAAGGAAGTAAGGAGAATGGAAAATTCAAAGCATAGAGAAGCCACTGTTTCTTTCTCCTGCACCTGCTGTCTACCCTTTCTTAACTCTTCCCTTCTGGCTTCTGCTCACATTGCTCTGTTGATCTGCTCTTTTGAACTCGATTAGTGACCTTATGAAAAGTTCAATAGCCTCCTCTCAATCCTGGCCCTCATCCACCTCTCTAACTCTGCTCTCCTCCTTGAAATATTCATGGCCCTCGACTTCTCATCTCCCACCTGTTTGTTTCTGCCCCATCACCTTGTTCAACGTCTCTTCCTTTTACCCTTTGTCTTTAAATGCAGATGCCCGGATGGCTCTGTCCTTGGTCCTGAACTCTTCCCTCCATGCTTTCACTTCTTCCTGAGGTCCAGTTAATCTCTCTACACACGTTCCTCTCCAGCCCTCAACACTGTGCTAACCCAGATCTCTAGCTATCTGCTAGACCTCTATGCCTGACAATTCCAAACACACAGAAAACTAAGCTGGCTCCTGACTTTCCTACTTCTGTCAGTGATGCCCCATTCCTCTGGTTTTCCAGGCTTGAGACTCTGGACTCCCAGACTCTTCCTTTCAGACTTTGCTACACATCTGCTAAGGTAAGTCCTCCTAAAACACAACTGCAATCCCATCTTGATCTGCTCAAATCCATTCCACGGTAGCCTCATGTGGAGTCCCAGGGGGAGGAGGGGCAGGAGAAGCCTAAAGGGAGATGGCTCAGCCTGTGGCCCAGGAAGCCTCATAGAGACCATAAGGGGGGCTCTGAGCACCCTTCACATGGACACTCTTATTTTGTTTTGCTTTATATATATGTTCTTTTTTATTGCATTTTAGGTTCTGGGGTACATGTAAAGAACATGCAGGATTGTTGCATAGGTACATACACGGCAATGTGGTTTGCTGCCTCCATCCCCATCACTTATATCTGGCATTTCTCCCCATGTTATCACTCCCCAACTCCCTACCCCCCACTGTTCCTCCCCTAATCCGCCCCCCCACGACAGACCTCAGTGTGTGATGCTCCCCTCCCTGTGTCCATGTGTTCTCATTGTTCACGTGGACACTCTTAAAGGCCACTGTAGGCCACCCCTAGGGAGGGGATAAGTTGTCACTCAGCTCCTCCTGGGGACTTCAGGTGACCAGACTATTGACATAGTCGACACCCTCATTGCCACTGGACCCCCAGCTCATGATCTCGGGTCTCAGGTCAGGTGCACCACTAAAGCGGTTGTCATGGAGCCTCAGCCCTTCACCGGGTGCCCACACAGGCTCGGTGTGATCCGACAAGCAGCCTTCGACCTTTGCTGCTGGAGGTTCATTTATGGACGTGACACAAGCCCCACCCTGGGGAGGGGCAAAGGCACATAAACAGATGGACTAACTTCAACCAGAAATGGCCCTGGTAAGGAGCCCTAGCAGGTGCAATAGGAGCATGGGGGAGAAGCCTGATCCACCCCCAGGCCAGCAGGAAGGAGGGAAACGTGAGTGGCACCTAGCATAGGTGAATGCCGGACCACAGGATGCTTTTGGGAAGTGAGAGATGTAAGCATGGTGATAGAGTCTGAGTCTGAGGACAAGAGACGGTGTGGGTAGCTAAGGGGCAGGGGGCAGGGGAATTTGGTTCAAGGGGTATGGGGAGGCAGAGAACCACAGGACAAGGAGCCAGCCCCAGGAGGACTGCCCTTGGACAGGATGGAGAAGCCTGTCAACCTGAAAGGGAAGGGGGAAGAATTAGTTTCAATTGCATGAAAGGCAGACGCACAGGAGAGTAATATTAGAAACTCTGAGCTTCTACTGGCAGCCAAAGGCACCATTTTCTCACTTTTCTTTCCCAGCAGCGCTAGAGCAGGTGGATTTTAGACAGGGTGACCAACTTGTCCTAGGACTTTTCTAACCTCAGCACTGAAAATTCCACATTCAGGGAACTCCTTAGTCCTGGGCAAACTGGGATAATTAGTGACCTTAATTTTAGGATTGGTTGGGCATGGTGGCTCACACCTGTAATCCCAGCACTTTGGGAGGCCAAGGCAGGTGGATCACCTGAGGTCATGAGTTTGAGACCAGCCTGACCAACATGGAGAAACCTCATCTCTACTAAGAATACA